TTGCATTCATGGTTATTCCTCACATTCTGTCAGGCCACACTTCACATCATAAGGGGGAATTCATATGAACACGAATAACTTTTTATTTATGCATGAAAATATTAGCCCTCAAACAAAATAATAAATTAGGGAGAAGACTAGGTTAGAAGTCTTGATAGATCCATTTAATATAGACAACGAGGGGCGGGCCCTTGCCCTACCAATACTTAGAAATGACCCTGCAACATTAGTGAAACAAGTTAACCATGGCTATTTTAAGATCCATTGGTTTCATTATACATATTTCAAATATGGCGGATATTGGACTCCCTTTATGTGTGGGGAGTATTTCTAGAAGAAAGAGGATTCCATGACATGAGCCATAGTCTGAAGTACGGAACTAAATAAAGGCTTGAGCGGTCATTGAATGTTAGGTCTCAACACATCTACTGGTCAATATTCATTCCTACTAAGAAGAAGAGAGTGACCAAAACATAACGTTGGGTATGGGTACCCTAGTCAGCAAGCTGGTTTGTTTTTGGAAAAGAGAACTACTACACTGTGGGAACAAGGTGAAGCAAACAAATCAATTAGAAATATGTGTTTCTTAGGAGACTGAGGTTAACATCCTCAGGCTCCTAAGAAACTTCTGAATTAGGCTCAGTGAAGACTACATACAGTACTTCAATGTCTCCTTGGCAGCAACTTACTGAGATCACAATAGCACCATGGCACCACAACCCCCATGCCACCTCAACTCCAGTACAGTCAGTTGCAGGAGGACAAGGGGGAGCAGGCCATCTCCCAGCAAAGGGAGATGAGCCCCCTGGAATGGGGAACTGGACCTCTGCAAAGAGGCTGGAGGCTCAAGAGGTTCTGCCTGAAGAGACAGACAAAGGGAGTCAGGGGCAAGGGTTGCTGAAGTTCTTTCGGCGAGGTCAATGGGTAGTAAGTATTTTAACGTGCCAATGGTATATAGGGTTGCTTAAGTTTCAAGTGAAATAGTCTGAGTTGAGTTCTCTAGAAAACAAATTTGTTCTTGTGTGCCTTCAAGACATGTCTCATTTATAGTAATCTTAAGGGGAACTACCACAGGGTTTTCTTGATAGAATTTATTTAGAGGGGGTTTGCCTTTGTCCTCTGAGAGAGTGTGACTTTCCCAGGATTATTTAGTAGTCTTCCCTAGCTAAGCAGACATTCAAGTCCTGGCTTCCCAGTGTCCTAGTCCAATACTCACTACACCACACTCTCCAGAACAAAAGTAAAATTATCTAAAGGAAGGATTGGTCTCAAAGAGAAATTGATATTTCCCATCAAAAGGATGTCTATGTGAGTTCTCTAGTTGAAGGAGTTTCAGCAGACATCCTCTTTTTGAACAGCTCTCTAATCCAACTTCCCAGTCCAAGACAAGAGAGGCAAGTGGTTTTGAAGTTCCTCCTTAACAAAAGACTTAGATATACACCTGGTCACGGATCTCTCTATGAGGAGATGCATATTTTCCCTCAATGTACTACAGTCTT